ACTCCAACATTCCAGGGCATGATACTGATAGCTGTCAGACATTAAAATACAAAATTCAAGACCTGGTCGATGAAGGAGCATTGGAATTCGCACAAGATGGTCAACTGGAATTATTCTGTTATCCCTCTAAGTCACACCATCTGAAGTGACAAGATCAGACAAAGAGGCTTTTGTTCATTATAATTTTCAATTTGTAATTTTCTTTTGATTGTTCGAACATTTATTTATATCAAACCTTGTTATTTCATCAATGCATTGCACATGTTTGTCTTAAATTAATTTGTTTGCACTATTCTTGAACTTCTTTCTTACTTCCCTTTTGTGATACTCAACTCTTGATTAAAAGCTATAAGCCTTTAGAGGGAGGATGACGAGAACGATACCACACTCTCTACAATATGCTTTTGAACAGACCCTGCTGACGATGTACATGCGTTGTTTCAAATCCTAAACAATGGAGTTATAAGGAAGATAATCCCTTGTCAACCCCTTTGAGCCTAAGAAGTAGGAGTTTTCTTTTCACATAAATTAAAACCCTTAATCATAATCTGGGGCAGGGTAGTTTTCTCAGTTAATTCATATGTGCATTCAGTCACAAGCTTTCCCTTCATACATGACAAATAGTGTAGAAGATGCTGATGGTTCCACATAATCATTAAGAACAGGCAGTCATTATCTCTCAAAATAAAAGCCCATTAATTCAAAGCCTATGAAGGAGACTTAAGAAAAAACTGGGGGCATCCTGTTGGCTGTAATCCCAAAAGAAACATTTCAGGTAAAAGACACAGATAGAAAAATAAAAAAAGAAAGAGGTCCTACAAATCCTCAACAAAAAGAAAAGGTCACAAAAATGACTGCCTTCTCAAACAAACGTTCAATTTCTGAGCCATCACCAGAATATCGGGGCCAACATTCCAAAACTCAAATGGGATTCGAAATGCACAATTAACTGAGCATAGGACTGAAGAACATCACGAAGAACGAATGGGTACAAATAAATTTTGAGCCTTTATCCTTTGTTTCCTAAACCGTGAACCAGGCCACGTTACAACCCTTAAAAGTCCTAGATGAAACATGGGTTAGTTCGAGAGCATATTGTTACAAAGGTATCCTGACTCCTATAAGGTTTGCTATAAATCATGAGTTGATATCACATTCTTGCAAATTTTATTTTACTACAAAAAACGCATTTTCAAAAAATTTCAAGACAGACATAAGCTTTGCATTCTTTAAATGACATGTTTGCATATGGTTAATTGTTCAAATTGCAGAGAAATTCACACAACGAATATTCAGTGAACGAAGACCCCCTCAATGGACAGAATCACCTCAGACGGAAAAAACATTTCCAATAACAAGCCTTTCATAATCTAAGGGCATGACACGGTGTCTAATTAATCTGGGGCAGCCAAGCCAATATGCAAAGAATCTCTCCAAAAATGCTGAATAGCCAGGGGCAGATCTCCATCTGAATCACTCGGGGGCTGTTACAATGATCTGGGATTCCAGCAAAAAATCACTGTGAAATTTGTATCTTTGGTACCACCAAATTGCTTGTTTGTGCCAGTAGTATCAGATGGTGTTAGTATCATGTCTTTGAATCCTTCCATGACAGTTCTTAGAAAATATACCTAGGAAATTCAAGACTATTAGAAACTTGATCAAACATCAGGTGCACCAGATTCATATTGAAGCAGTCCTAGACAGGCTCCCACGTATGAAAGGGCACATGCGATCACATAAACATTTTCTAGCATTTCTACAACACTTGCTGTCATAGACGGTGACAACTCTCCACATCTTATGAGCACGAACATAATCATAAATACTACGCATGAAAAATACCCACTAGGTTGACAGGCCTAGGCAAAATTAAGGGCATCCCGGCGAACCAAAAAAGTTCGGGCAAAAATTAGGGATATATACAAAAAAATTGTACACCCGGCAAGTTGAAAGCCTGAAAAGGTAGCTTGAGCAAAAAAGGGTATCCCAGTGGACTGAAAACCTGAAAGGGAGGTCCAGGAAAAAATTAGGGATTAAAAACGTAAGACTATGTCCCGTCATCTTGTCATTTGTTTATCAGTAGAAGATTTATCATCCTGATCAGGATTTACCAAGCACCCTGAAACAACCGGCTAAAAATCATCAAACAATGAAGTCGCCATCGAACGTCTTTTATCCCACATGAAGGGAAAGGTAAACATTGAGGAAACCTGAAAAGGGTGAAATCAAGGTCTTGCGACCGAGAGATAAGGGTAAGGGAGTCTGTTACGCGAGGGGAAGGTATTAGCACCCCACACGCCCGTAGTACTCTATGGTATCCACTCTTGTTGTCTATCTTATGGGTGTGTTTAATCTATGCTTATGGTTTATTATTGCTAAGGGAGAATGCATGCAAAAGAAAAGGGAAAAAATGTAGGGAAAATAAAATTGTGCTCGTTCGGGCCCTACCCCGATGCCTACGTATCCCTTTTAAGGAATCAGAGCAACCGTAGTTCGGCTTACATGTTTTTGTTTGTTTATATTTTTTTACCGAACAATATTAATTTCGCCTTCTGCCGCAACTCGACCTTTGGAGACTTACGCGTCAGCACAGAAGTGAATTAACATGCTCTCTTGAAAAGTTTGGAAAGAAATGTGCCTGGACGCACAAAAGTTTGAATTTGTTTGTTTTTGTAATGAATGATATTAATTTCGCCTTCTGCCGCAACCCGACCTTTGGAGACTTACGCGTCAGCACAGAAGTGCGTTAACATGTTCTTTTGAAAAAGGTTTGAAAGGAAGGCCCAGAGGCAAAAAGAGTTTGTATTTGTCGGTGTTTTTGCTTGTAGGTAACAGCTAGTTGACCTCAAGAGAGAGATTTTAGCCATGTCTCTACTTATTCATGAAATGATTCTTTGAGACTTGAATCATACCAAAGCTTAGAACAAGAGAATAATAAGGTCGAGAAGAAACCCGCTTATCATCTCTCAAACTTAGCCAAGACATGGTTCTTGTCAGTAAATTTTTATGTATTTTTGAAGTTTGTAAAAAAGGAGAAGTTTTTGTTTTAAATGCTTATGCAAAAAAGGGAAGGACAAGTCACAGGGAAACCAGTCTATTTCTAACCTAATTTTATTATACTTCATACGACCTTTATGTAGAGATAAATGCAAGGTGAAAATAGAAAGAAAATATACCAAACGAGTACTAGCCCGTGGAGCAAAGGAAAAAAAGTAAAGAGACCCGATATTCTTGCGAGCTGCTAGCACCAACAAAGAAAAGAGTTAGAAATCCAATATTCGGAATGATTATTGAAGCATCCTCAGTGTGAAAATAAATCGCAATCGGCATCTCGAGCGTATCCATATAACATACAAAAAACCTGCATCAGACTCGAATCTTGACGAGCAAAAGTGAATTACAAGTCTCGAGTAATCGGATAATCATGAATTAATTCCTAAAGGCAAAATAATAAAAAGAATATAATAAGTTCTCCTCTTTCTCTTTTTTTTTTTATTTAACCATTTGAAATAACCATTAAATAAATGAATAATAATAAAAGGAGAAAAGAAAAAAATTCCAAAACGACGGCGTTTACTGTAAACGGACCCCTCCAGCTCCTTTACGCAGAAAGCCTTTCTTCTACATTCGAAAACAACAATGGCGATGCCGCCATGACTCCATCCCTTCTCCTCTGTTCTGATTCAACTTTCTTGTTAACACCACCTAAAGTCTCTCTCTGAATTCGACTCCTTCGCTTGCTTTCGTCAATTTCTCTTCCTCTATCCCGAATCTAACAACGAGACTTAAGCTCTACATTTCTTCCGATCAAGATTACATGGTGGATTTATCGTTCACCGCATTTTACCCTTCGCGATTATGGTACAGACCAAGCAAAAAGTCATAAACAGAAGAAGATTGAGGTTACCTATTGAAGACACGTTGGTAGCGCTTTAGAAATCCAGAGATGAAGTAATACAATTATTGTCCTTCTTGATCTTGTCTGCTTCGTCTTGATCCTCTCATCATTGTCTTCACTTTTCTTTGGTCTGGGGGTTGCGTGCGTTGGCGATAGAAGAAGAGCGGAAATGATGACAATTATGAAGATTATCGCAAGTTGAGAAAAATGAACTCTGTATGATGAATCAGAGAGAAGTGAAGCTTTGAGAACTAACTGAAGGTCGAACAATGGAGAGTGGAGGTGAAGACGGAGTTTAGAGAGGGGAAATTGAAGATTATGAGAGTTCAGAAAAATTGAGAGTGAATGATGGAGAGGGAAGAAGTTGTTTTGAAGCTGATACAATGATGACGTTTTGAAACTGGAAAAGAGAGAGTGACTTCGTTTTTTGAAACTTGGAGGGAGTTTGGATTATATAGGTAGTTGAGGGAGATGGAAATGGTTATGTGAGAATCAATCCGAACCATTGATTTGGGTAGAGTTTGTTAGGGATTGAAGGGTGAGATTGAGAGTTTGTTACAAGGTGGTTATGCTAGTTGGGAATTCTGTTTGGAGGTTTTGTTGTGTATTGTTAAAACAGTTGGGATTTTCTGTTGAAGTTTGTTATGGAGGTTGTTAGTAAGTTGTTGGAATTTGGTTATGGGAATTAGTAATTCAGTTTGCAGGTTAATTTTGGAATAAGCTATTTAGAATTTGGTTTAGAAAATTCTGTTATGTATGTTGGTAGAAGTGATGATGTGGATCGTCTTGCACAAGAACAGCTGCGTCAGCTGAATTGTCTGAAGTGCTTCCATCAAATGAAGGCATGCCCATTGATGACATATCAGGCATGATGCGAAACATCGGATTCAATCTAGTAATTCTTTTGACAGTCTCTTCAGCCATCTTCACCTTTGCTCTCAAAGTTTCAACATCAGCTTGTCCACAAAGTCAATAAAATCAATGCACCCACTTTTCGTAAGAAAAATAGAAAATATCAGAGAAGACAAGCCAGTCCTGCCAGCAATTTATCTCTGAATTTGTTAATTTAGATAGTTCTACAACTCTATCAATAACTGCTTCACAAATCATCTCTAAAGAAAAAACAGCACCAGCAGTACTCCCTTGAAATGAAGGCCTGTAGCAAGGAGCAAGTACCAGTACTCGTCTCCACCAATCAGGTGAAGGTGTGGTACAGAGAGCATGCCTGATGCAACGTACAGCTCTCTCCCAGTCCAAACTTCCCTTCTGAATAGAGGTTGTAATATCCTCTCCTTGCAATGGTTCTCTAAGTACACTTAAATATGAGAGTGGTGATAGTCGCAGGTGCGCTATTGCTTCGTTTAAATTTGAAATAGTAGGTGTGGTCTGGTTTAGGATCCGATGAGTCCCAAATGTAGGGCAATGAAGATGCTGGTCTAACATTTGCATGTGTAGAGCCATCATGTCTCGTCTCCTGCGGATCTCCAAGATAAGTGTAAATAATGCTTCCTCATCAGGTATATTTTCTATGAATTGAAAATCACTACGTAATAATTCATAAAAGGGAACCCGACATTTTCCCTCATCAACTAAAAGCCAGATCACATCCAAGCAACTATGTAGCCAGGCAATTACAGTTTTGTCAAGTCTCCATGACTTCAGAATAACAGATTCATCAACTCCATGTTGTCTCTGGTTCCAATTCACCAGCCAATTGAGCATATGGTTGAAGATTCCGACATATGACACAGGTTTTAAACTGAACTCCAGACCAGTTAAAATGATTTTGCAACATAGCTGGCGAAGGTTACTGTTACTGATATCATTATTTTCAACAGACGGTCCGCCTCTTAGTTTAGATTGTAATTGACTCGAGGAAATATCAGATGATGGCTCAATCGATGGCTATGCAGGGGAGCCAATAGTATGGACAGAATTCAATGGATATGCAGGATTTGAAGACTGAAAATTAGAAGAATTAGTAATTGTATTTAGAGGAGGCAACATTCCTGACTGTGATAAGCTACAAGAGGTAATTGTTGACACTGCTTGACTCATTTGATCAACCGGTAATTCTGCCGAAGAAACTGAAGAAAGAAGGGACGGAAGAAAGGCGTCCCAGTTAATGCACCAAATACCGCTCAAGCTTCGAAAAATAAAAATAAGAAAGTCTGATCGCGACCCATGACCACTACACTGTGCAACCAATGGTATAAGAACAGCTTCAACCACGAAACGTAATTGCTCATGGTCCGGAAACTGGCTCTGAAGTTGCTCAAAATCTAAAATGAATTGCTCATTTGGCGGTGGAAGCTCTCTGTTAATAGCATGCACGCGTTTTTGTGCTTTGTTCGGTGGTTCGCGGAGTGAGTCATCGGGTTTGTTGCGGCTGTTTCTTCCAAGTCCTAAGTAGAGTGAGGAGATCGAGAATCGGTACTCGAGCAGGGTGGAATTGAACAGAACGCGATGGTGGTGGTGGTGTTGTTAGTGATCGCTGGTTCTGAGATTGATCCATTTTCACGGTTTCATTCAGTTACTTGGGGTTTTTTTATTGCAGTATTCTGTTTATCTCTTGTTATCATCCAAATATGTATTCCAGCTTTCCTTAGTGTTTCTATTGTTTCAGGAACTCCATCCTGTAAGCGATCTTCTATCGCCGTAACACCAAGGATTTCCAAGTCATGTTCTATTCTTTGGCAGACCTTAGCTACTCTCCACTCCCTATCAACCAAAGTGCTACTAGCTTCTTTAAACATCAAAGACCAATCTTGATATTCATCTTTCTTTAACTCACGCAAAACCAAACATAGTGTACGTAATCCCAAGTGAGCATATTGTTCCACAGCTTTAATGAAGTGATGAGTTTGCTGCCCAGCACGAGCATATGGAAGAATAGCCTCATCTGCTCCCTTTGACAGGAGAAGGATCTTTCCATTTTGGCAATCTTTCAACACTACTGACATTCTTTTCCTATCAGAAGTGAACTCTAAGATCTCCAGGACTTCATACTGAAGTATAGTAGTGTTGAACTTGGCTTCAAGAATTTTTGCACTTTTATTGACGAAAATCATATGCGGCTGAGCAGCAGCTTGATCAAGAGCATCTTCATCCTGAGACTGTGCCTTATACAAGATATCTCCAGTTTTGCTTCGTGTGGGTATGACAGTATTACATATTGCCATGTAAGAAATAGTATAGCATCAGGAGAACCACTGGAAACAGCATTAAGGAGCTCTACATCTTTCAATGCATCTCCACTCTCATTTCCATAGAAAATTCCATTAATACAACATCTTCTGAATATCATCTTATTTTCAGTCAAGGTGCCTGTTTTGTCTGTCAAAATGTACTCTATTTGTCCAAGGTCCTCGCTTATCGCTGTATTTGTTGCATGAGATGGAATGCTAGTCTCTAGGTCAATCATTATATGGTCCCGCTGAAGGTGCTCCAACATCACCTTCTTGTACGCGCCGTGCTTTTTCTTGTTCTGCTGTCTTCAGGGACAATGAAACTACATGGGCAAGCTCCGGATCCTCCACAAATGTTTGCCTTGCGTTAGGCCCAGATTCACTTAAGTTAACTTGTCTGCCAAGTTCGTGATTGCTGTAATTTTCCTCAGCCTTCTGTTTGGATGACTCAATGGTTGCACAAATCATTGCTTCTTCTATGTCATTGCCACTATCTGGTAAGTTATCAAAGTTGGGAGCACTAGGTATTATACTACTGTCAGGCAAAGTATGAGTCGGAGCAGGTGGAGTATCGTCGTCATCATCATCATTAATTATTACGACACTCCCATGTGTACCCGAACCTTGGGCATGAACAGTTCCAGTGACATCTTTAACGATTGGAGTGTGGCCAACTTGAGGAGTGGATTGACTACCATCCTTAAACTCTATTGGAATCTCCCTTACCTCTCTTGGATGTGTAACAAATGGCTTCTGGTTTGTTGAACCGAGATGAGTATAAAATATATTTCTACCAAGTGTAGGATCAAGAAGAGAAAATGGATAGAGATTTCCGGCTGTAGATAGAAGAGATGGAGGTCTAAGAATTTCATCATCACGTGGATCATCATCTATGTCCGTGAAATCCCCTTGAGGAAATGTGGCAGAGCTGGTCATCGAATTTCTGTCTCCTTCGCTAACAAATGCATTTTACAGCTCCATTAAGACTACCATCATGCTCCAGTGGGTCCGCACTCCGTAGAGAGAGATAGAGGCGTTCTTTAGAGTTTAGGAGAGGGGTAGTAGTTTCGAGGGTTATAACTACAACAGTTGGGCTTTTATTTTCAATTTAGGTTAATAATGTTACAAATTAACATATACCCTAAAATATACTAATGAAAATATGAGTGGAATTCTAATGTTATACGCTATTCGGTTTTCCACTCTACATGCTTGGCTTGGCCATAAGGGAGTCATAAACCGATACCTTGAATTATGCTTCTTGATTATTTGCCAACGAAATTCATAACATATATGAGCCCTTGAGCCGATCAACGCTCGGTAAGAAAATGAAATTAGTATACTTCCATGGCATGTTTAATTACTGAACCTTAATCCCAAATAAATCCATAAATTCTAGTCATCTTGAATTTGAAACAACCACCTTTCATTTGGTAAAATGAGCTAAATGAACTCCTGACCCATAGCTTAACTAACAAGACATATCTGGACTCAAAGCAATCCTTAATCGCTTGTCAAAGGAGAAAACTTTGATTCAATCCCTTAGGCATCCTGGACAAAGTCGACTTATAAAACAAGTAGTCCTTAGATGATGACTAACCTCCAACAAGGGGAGGGTAGTGCTCTATGTAGCCTTGAAGTGAGACTTTAGTCCGATAAACCTCCATTGAAGAACCACTACCAAGCCTGAACAAAATGAAGAGAAATTCCGATTCTCTTGACCTGGTATAGGGAAGTAAATCCTAATCTCTGACATTGATAAAATTGAAGGGATAATAGCCCTTGAACTTTAATGAAGAAAGAAATTCTCATGACTACGACTCACAATCCCAATTCCACTGCTCACTGCCTGAATAAGAAATCAGCCTTTATTGGATACGGACGCCTTAACCGTTGCGAAACCATGATATCGCACAACCACTGAATTTTGAACCGTAGAGCTATATTGAATGAAATGTATGCCATGTTAATAACCTAATGAAATAGATGCAGATGAATGCGATAGTCTAAGCCAAACTAGAAGAAATTAGGAGGACAAATTTTGGGGTGCAACAGCTGCCCCTATTTAATCGCCTTCAACCTGAAGGTGAGATTGGCGCCAGCCTTTCGAACTTTCAAGGTAGAAGAAGATTAAATACTAAAAGAACCCGAAAATTTGCGCTCCGAAGCCAGTCAGGTATCATTATTTTTTATCTTTCTGTATTTTATATTTTTTTTGCTTTCTAGGTTAAAGGGGTTATCGGGGTTAGATGTATGTTTAACCAGGGTTTGACACACAGCAGAATAACTTGGTTATCAAGGAACGTCTGTTGGAATTCAGTAACAAACACCTGTAAGAAAGATATCAAAAGATACATGCCTGAAGTCTGTAGCAGACATACGGAAAAAAGTATCAGAGACACATATCCGGGGTTGGTAGCGGATATACAAGAAAGAGACATCAAAAATACATATTCGTGGTCGGTATCGGATACGTAAGAAAGATATAGAAAAGATACATATCCGTGGTCGGTATCGGACACGTAAGAAAGAGATAGAAAAGATACATATCTGTGGTCGGTATCGGATAGGTAAGAAAGAGATAGAAAAGATACATATCCGTGGTCGGTATCGGATACGCACAAAAGAGATAGAAAAGATACATATCCATGGTCGGTATCAGATAAGCACAAAAGAGTCATCAAAGATACATATCCGTGGTCGGTATCGGATACGCACAAAAGAGACATCAAAGATACATATCCATGGTCGGTATCGGATACGTACGAAAGAGACAGACCAAAGAAAGCCCTTACAAAGATATCAAGAACACATGTCTGGGATTGGTAGCAGACATATGAAACAGGTATCAAAAATACATATCCGTGGTCGGTATCAGATACGTAAGAAAGAAAAAGATACATATCCGTGGTCGGTATCGGATATGTATGAAAGAGATAGAAAAGATACATATCTGTGGTGGGTATCGGACACGTGAGAAAGAGATAGAAAAGATACATATCCGTGGTCGGTATCAAATACGTATGAAAGAGACAGACCTAAGAAAGCTCTTACAAAGAAAACACCAATCGAAGGTGAACTTACTGAGGGAAGAGACCAAACAAATGAGACTCCTGACAAATGATACTAGTCGACGATGGATTTTAACAAATGATACCAGCCGAAGCGGGGTTTTGAAAGATACTTGCGGAGCGGGATTTTAACAAATGATACCAGCCGAAGCGGGGTTTTGAAAGATACCTGTCGGAGCGGGATTTTGAAAGATACCAGCCGAAGCGGGATTTTAAAGGATGCCAGCCGAAGGTGGACTTTAGGATAAAGAAATCGGCCGAAGGGGAATCTTCATCCAGGAATACTATGACGAAGGTAGATTCCTAAGAAAAGAACGTCAGTCAAAGGCGAACTTACAACTGCAAAGAGACCAGCCGAAGGGGACTCTCAATAAATGATACCAGCCAAAGGTGTATTTTAAAGGATTCCAGCCGAAGGTGGACTTTAAGGGCGAAGAAACCAGTCGAAGGGGAATCTTCATCCAGGAATATTATGCCGGAGGTAGATTCCTAAGAAAAGAATGTCGGTCGAAGGCGAACTTACAACTGCAAAGAGACCAGCCGAAGGGGACTCTCAACAAATGATACCAGCCGAAGGTGGATTTTAAAGGATGCCAACCGAAGGTGGACTTTAAGGGCGAAGAAACCAGCCGAAGGGGAATCTTCATCCAGGAATACTATGCCGGAGGTAGATTCCTAAGAAAAGAACGCCGGTCGAAGGCAAACTTACAACTGCAAAGAGACCAGCCGAAGGGGACTCTCAATAAATGATACCAACCGAAGGTGGATTTTAAAGAATGCTAGCTGAAGGTGGACTTTAAGGGTGAAGAAACCAGCCGAAGCGGAATCTTCATCCAGGAATACTATGCCGGAGGTAGATTCCTAAGAAAAGAACGCCGGTCGAAGGCGAACTTACAACTGCAAAGAGACCAGCCGAAGGGGACTCTCAACAAATGATAAAGGTATGCATATCTGGTCAGAGTTAGATACATAAGAGAGAAGTTGATCATCAAGAAACAAATGTTTAGAATTGCTAGAGAACACAGGAACGAGACTAACCGAAGAAAGCCCCAATAAAAAAGGACGCATTCGCCTAAACAAGGGCGCCAGACAACTGGACTTTAAAGAGACATTGAAAGACTCTTAATCATAAAAAGTTAGCTAGGCTAACGAAAGGAGGACCCGACTAACGTGGATAAACCAAAACAAGGAAACCGACTAAAGCGTGACCTTTAAAGAGCACTGATCGAAGGTGAACTCTGCAAGAGAAAGGGACT